GCTTAAACACAAAATGTTAAATAGAAATGTTTTAAATTTAAAAAATACACCGCATTAAAGATTTTAAAGCAGAAATTGAAAATTTCAAAATTTCGATGTAACACCAAAATAGTTCCAAGTCTTATTATTACCTATTTTATTTGATTGCACCTTTCCTGTTTGTGTGTATTTGTCAAAATAAGAATGATATTGACAGAATATATTTAATCCAAAATGACCGAGAGAGCGAAAATTCTTTTATTTACGTATGTGAAAAGTTTCAAGAAACGTATCCAAATATTCTATTATGAGGAAGTTCAGTACATAACTTAGTAAATAATTAAAACCAATTGATCTGTGACCGTAAAGAAGACTCAAATAATATATGACGAAAATCGCGCTTTAACAATATTAATTTTTCAATCGGTCAACGAAAACTTTAGGCACTTTTCAAGAAAACGAGCACAAAATTTACAGGTCTTTAAAAAAGTCATATCGAAGATCCGTAAACCAAAACATTCATATAAACCAGTTTTTTACTATGGATGATAGGGGCGTTTGAATTTGTTTTTGGATCGGCAATAAAATTCTAAATAACAATGTGAACTTTCACAAGCTTTCTCAGACGAGTTAAAATTCAGTACCGACGGCACTGTGGCTTGTCAGCACGTGAGGTGATAATAAAAATCCAGAATTTTGAATTACGGATCACCATCAATATTTTGAAAAAGTAAATGTTTGGTGCGCCACTTGCAATTATGGAATTATAATAAACCTTTTTGATAACACGTGTAACAGACATTCTTATTTGTACATGCTGGAAACATATCAAGTTGGAAAAATTGCCTCTTCAGTATCGCCAAAATATGTATTCTCTGCATGAGGCCTCGCTCATTATGCTGCAGATGTGGAAGAATGGCTCGATTGCAAATCACGTTTTAAGATCCATTAAATAATACCAACAAATTTTGATGCAAAAAATGAAAACAGTAGAATTTCGCTGGAAGTTTAGCAAATTTCGACGTCTGTTAGAAAAAAAGCGTAGAGTAGGCAAGGGAAGTTTTTGAAATATAAAATTATGTCCACCTATACATTTTTTAAATTAAAATATATTATTATTATATATATGATATATTATATTACAGAAATTTTTACAATATGCAAAATGTTTTTCGTTGAATACAAACATTATTATCTACTACAATATTATCAAATACAACCGCAATGATTCTGTTATTTTGGATATGTTTTTTGAGACCGTAATAAACAACTGTACTTAGTAGTATTTTATATAGTTATACTAGCAGAGGAAATGAGTATTCTGTACCCTTTTAAAGTCTGTTCATAGATATAAGAAAGTGACTAACTGATACGAATTAAGGAAAGACCCGGGCAAGCTGTAAGAATGAAATATGGCCTAACAGGTCCGTACTTTGCTTAGAATTTAATTATTTGGGGTTTTGTTAGAAAAGATACTAAACAATATTTATTTATTTATGTATGTACTTATGTTTAAATCTAAAATAAAATTACAAATTATTTTTATTACCTACTTAAATTACTTAAAATTATTCACATAGTATATCAGTATCACTATCGCTATCAGCGCCTGTTCTAATTATTATTTTTTCTATATTATTTGCAATATGGATATACGATTGTTCTGCTTTTTCTATATATTTAACAGAATTTGCCCAACTTTGTCGAGGGATGTTAAAAACTTCGGTTTCTATAATTCTGAGGACATTGGAGTTAACACGGGAAAAACATTGTTAGGATGAATGGCAGATAAATATACAGTGGTAAGGTGAAAGCCTTAAAACTGTATGCCCTAGATTTGTATAATTGTCACAGACGAATTATTTTTGTAGGTTCAAATTTTGTAGACCCTCAATTTATTGCTTTTTGGTATAATCTTCGTGAAAATAAATGTCGTTATTATACATGTAGTTTTGGATTGTTGCTTTTGTGTCACATGAGGAAGGGGTTTTAGTCAACTGTCTACTGTGATAACTTGCATTGTCCATTACAATTACGCTATTAGAAGGAATGTTTGGAACTAGTTTGTTTTTAACCCAACTTTCACATAAATCAGCGGTGGTGTCTTCATGGTAATCCAGAGAAGAATCTTTAATATTTTTCGCAGACGGAGAAAGTCCATTTGGAATCCAACCATCTTTAGAGCCATCATGCAAAATAGTTATTCGTTTACCTCTTTTTGATGGCGCGTTTGTTTTACACTTCACTTCACGCTTTTCCTCGCTGAAATGGGATTATACGCAGTTTTCCATACAGTTGATGTTGGAATTTTCGTCAGTGTGGCAATTTCTTCTAAATATGCTTGCTTGTTGGCACCACGTTCAATGAGAGTCAAATAAACATTGTTTATAACTTGCTTAGTCTCAATAGAATAGTGTTTTTTACATTTGGGCGGGAGCATCTCCTGGGATACACTAGACTCGCACATATTTTGCATAATTCGCACACTATTCAACACACGCTGTATTAGACACGAAATAAGAATGATTACTAGTAAACTTAAACTAATTAGTACACCACACCAAAGAATATTAAACACAGGTAGGTATAAAATTATTTTGTATTACGGACCACAATTTTACCTGAATTTAAATTCCGAAACTTTAGGTAATAATCTTGGTGCATTGTATGTTAATGACCACCCTTGGATAATCCCCTTCAAAAGCAATTGGTCACTTTCTTATATCTATGAACAGACCATAGCTCCGAAATTTTATCGCGTTACGCTTAATTATAGCCTTAAGACTTATTTTGTTACTTTGCATCTTTTCTCTGTTGCGCATGTTTTTTACAATTGTAGATTTTTAAGATATTGTACTTTAATTGATAAGTTAAAAGGTAACCATAACCACCATAAGTAAATAAGATTGTTAATACTCTTAACCATCGTTAAGCAATAATAATTTAACAAATTTATGTTAGATGTTTAGGCAAGTAAAAAAAAATATTTAGAATTTTTTCTAAATTAAATAAAGTTTCTTAAAAAACAAAAAAGATAGTAGAAATAGTTCCATCTTTAGTATAATAACCTCCCGAAACCAAAAATGGAAAACATATAGGGAGTGCTATTTAAAATCGGAACAGTAACTACAGTAATTTAACTTTTTTTTTCGCTCAAACGGGATGTGCATCCATCCATTAACTTCATAGTGTACCCAAATTTATGGAGTGTTTCCACTTTTTTGTGATATCCGATATAGAACTTGAAAATAAATATTTGAGTTAATTAAAAAGTTCAATAAAAATATTTTATATGATTTCCAGCAATTTAAATTCATAAATATGCGAGGAGATAAACTTAACAGGCTTACTCTATTAATAAAAAAAGCGTTTGTAGAACATATGACATATGTTTATATGAAACCTTCTTAAAATTGATCCAGAAATACGCCGTTAAATATAGTAATATTTTCTAACCTTTTTGCTTCAAATATTCAGTGTTAAACCGCAACATTAGTTTCATATATACCACTTAAAATAGTATACCCCAATATACAAATAATATTACCCCAAAATTAGTTGCAGAAAGAATTTTGTTTAAAGTGTCAATGTTTCGAGTCAATCAATATGTCGATAGTCGTAAAGTATATTTGTTGTCATCAATTAAGACCGGCGACCCAAAACTTTACCAACTATTAAGTTAATTCTGTATTTCATAAATATTTAAACACCTTTAAGTTTGTGGCTTTTATCTATACTAAATAAACGAACTAAAAAAAACAAGATGGTAAATTTATTTTATATTTTGCAGTATCTGTAAATGAAAAATAATTAACTTTTAACCAACAATATGCAATGTGGCGGCAGACAAGAAACGTTCAGTAGACAAGAAACCCCTGTATTTGATTTATTTTTAAAAGCGTGTTCTGTAGATGAAACAGATTAACCTCTGGGTGAATCCAGTTGGACATCTAGCGTAATTTTTTTAGTTTTCTGGTCTTTTTTATTGAGATTAACTTGTAAAGAAGCGTGAGTCTAATAAAATTGATAAAACAAAGGCAGCACAGAACATATGGTTGTTGTACAGGGTGTCCGAAAAAAGGTGCTTTACCCGCTTAACTCAGAAACTGGGAACGATAGAAAAAAAAGTTAAATAGAAAAGTTGCCTGCTTTCATTTACTTAATCAGCTTTATTATTTTAAATAGAACAAACACCCTGCATATTATTGCAATTCTTCCAAAAAATGTTTAACTGAGAATTCACTTGTGGTAAAAGCGATATTTTTGTTGTATTCAATATAACGATTATATTATTATTATTATATAGATTATATCTTTCATTTGAATACATTATGAGTTTTAATGGAAAAAATCAGATTAATTAAATCAAAAAATAAAATCACTCAATCAAGAACTTTTTTACTTTTTACATAATTCCATTTTTGTACTTCATGTTTACTCACCCTGTATTAATTTACATGCACCCACAACAAATACATCCAAAATTAAATAATTAAGCCTGCGTATAGAAAAATTTCTTAATTATTTTAGGGACTGCAAATGTCCTTTTTGACTTAAAATTCAAAATTCAAATTCAAGATTTGTCAGAAACGATTAGATATAATTATAGAACATTATCTAGAATTTCCAGAGAAATCTAGAAATGCAATAATACACATATTTAAAATAAGAAAGCTGGTATTTACTCCAGATGAATACCCTGTATATATGAAAAATTAAAAAATCTAGTTACAACTATGCAACTTTTCTATCAATTTTTTTCTATGGTTCGTAGTTCCTGAGTTAAAGAGGTATGAAACCTTATTTCGGATACATTGTACTGGCAAATATTTGTAAAATCAATTTTGTTTGAACCAAGGATCCAATCAAAATAATATAATAAAAACAGAAGTGTGAACGCTTCGACTTCGCAGTCGTATTTCTCTCGGACAAAGGTAGCATTGCACGATGAATAGACGATCCTGTACCTGCAGATAGTTATTGCAACAAAAACACAATATTATTGTAACAAAGGACTTTATTCAGAAATTTTAATATTCTTCTCTCGAACAATCAAATAGGTACATACACAAAATGCCGTGCACTGACTAGGGAATGTTAGTTAAATTGATATAAAACAAATAAATAAATAAATAAATAAATTGAAGTATAGAATTCAATATTTGAGGCGAAAAGTAATACACTTTTCAGTTGAGTATTTTCAGGTGCTTGAGTTCAATTGCAAGAAACTCAAGTACATGCGTCCTGCATTTCATGAACAAATGCATCAACTAGTAATGATTTGTCATAAAATACCGTGCTCGAACTGAATAGCTCAATTAAAATCCACAAACTATAAAGTTTATATATTTACAGGTAAGAACGAATTTTTTTGATACACAAAAAAATAGTCCAGAATAAAGGAGTAAATAGCACTGAGTCGAGACTTAATTGAACCAAAAATAGGGAGATTCGGTAGAAACTTGCGGCTTCCGCTTCTTGTAAGCCAAATTTTGGGCGTAGTCTAACCGATCTTTGTACGATGTATGGCCATAATATGACGACTTCCAGTCCTCTATAGGCACATCGTCCTCTTCGTAGTGGTGCTCATGCTTAACATCCTCGTAGAGGACTACGTGGTCCGCACCATTTTTATACGACAAAAATACCTTAAGGCCGAAAAATGCCAGCGCCCAAATTGTCACCAGCAGGAACTTGAGCTTAAGGAAACCGTGAAATATGGCAAGTACCGTGTGGATCTTGATCACTAGCACGATGGCGTAGATGATGAGCTTGATAAGGCGGATCAGTTTTTTGATGAGACCGTCGTGCTTTCCCTTCTTTCGCGTCTCTCCTGTGCTCAGTGCCTGTGCTGAAAGGGTTTAATGTGACCACTTTAAAAAATTTGGTTGAGGCGGTTAATTCCCCACGATGATGATGATTGGTTATGGCGATGATGAGTCCGCTTTTCGGGTATGCGGCGTTTGGATGGGCGTTCTCCCATTTCGGAATGTAGAATGATCAATTCGATACTCAATAGACGTAGTTTTATTTTATTTATAGCATTTAATTCAATTATTGGTATTTTTTTTGTAATTACGCTTAGGAGCACCAAAAACCAATCCTATATTAAACTAGCAAAAATAATGATAATGAATTAGATATATATGGCTCGAGCTGTTTTCGAGACATCGACGATTAAACTTATTGATAAAAATTGACTTTAGCAATGAAAATAAACATTTGATTACAACGATAGAAATGTTGAATATTTCCAAAGAAAAGTTAACGTGGTTCTAGAAATTGTTCTAGTTATATATTCAGCCACAACAAAGATTATACGAAACGTCCGAGGTGGAGGTCTTTTGTGATGTCTTTTCACAATCACAACGCCAAATTGAGATCGATGTAAAGTTCTTTTAAATCAAATATTTGCAATTTACACCTTAATTTTTCTAATAATTCTATTTTCAGCTTTGTATTCAGTATTTCCCCGATCTCGATTCATGAAATGTCATAAAAACTTGACAATAAACTAAACATTAGGTCGACCACAGAATTAAAGAAAATCTTAAAAAGTTCTTAAATGAAGAAATCGATAAACGAGAACTTTAACAAAAAACAGTCAATGCTTAAACTCGGTTTATAAAAGTCAATTCTACACATACAGAAATTAGTGAATTTAGATGTTCTCTGGATCACCGTGTTCTTTATTGTGTTTGAGTTTCTATATACCGGGTAGCATATAAGTAAGGTCAACGAGGTACAGTCTTAGGGAAATCGACAGTTCTTGAGTTGAAATAGGCATGCCAACTTGATTTTTTAAAACCGTTTAGGGTGAGTATGTCTTAAGAGCTGAGACAAATTCAAATCTTTTTGTTTAATGATATTTGTTCTATCTCTGCAAGAAAAGAGGTGTTCGAACATTGACTTAATAAATGTGCATATCGCCAAAATGGCTTAATTTAAATAACCTTGGATTCCTTAAAAAGGGCCTTTACATGACTTTTTTTATGTGAAATAAGAGGCCAATAACCCAGAGAAACGCATCTCTTAATATCTTTATTCTAGCCCAAAATATCAATAAAAAATTTTGAATTTTGGGGAACGTGACCACTTTACTTTGTTATGAATATCTAATTATTCCGAAGTTACCAAATGAAACCATAACTTATTATTTAAGATACCAAACAATATTATTACAAAATTACCCAGCAGCTGACATTACTATGTTTTAATGTCCTTGCCTGGTTGTTAAATATTAGGTTTAGCCAACTAATGAATTATAATAAGAATAATAATAAATTACCTTTATTTCAAAATGTAATAACTACATTTAATACTTAGGTAATCGTAAATCTTTTGAATAAATCTATTTTTCTACATTAATATGCTTATATCTTCACCAGTAAATTAAAATTTGTCATTTTTAATTTTTTTAAATAGTTGATTGTTTTCTTGTTGTGTTTATGTTTATTGTTTTCTTAGATTCACTATATTCCCAAAGATTTTTGTTTTTAAGAAAAAACAAAGCAAAGCATTTTTTTATTTTCCATGGAATATACGTACCCAACATTCCAGTACTTTATTAACATGGAAATTCGATATTCGATTTTATGGTGCTATCGATTTGTACAAAACATATTTGCAGAAATCTTTGCCTTATTAATAAATAGCTTATTTTTAGTGAACAAATTATCTGACTTACCATTCTAACCAATTATTGAAGGCTAACTTTTTTCCCTAAACCTCGTTTTCCTTACTCGGACTCTCGGGTCTAAATTCTCTTGTCCAAACTATAGTGGAACTTATTTCGAACTATCTGCGTGGTCCACAGTAGCAGCGGTAACAAGGCAAAAGTTGCAAACTGTACTAACCAAACCGGTAGGAAGATTGAAACTTCGGCTACTGCTTGATTGAACCATATACCGATATTAGTAAATGAACGATACGATGTTTCAACTGTTAAAAAAATTCCTGATATGAAACATGCTCGATAAAACAATGCATCCGCATGCAGTTTATCGCAAAGTCATTCGCAAACGTACCTCTAAATTTTAGTTTAACCAAAAATACGGACTTGCAGTGGTGGTTACAGGTCTTTGGTACCTGTAAGCTAAATTCTGTGCATAGCCGAGCCTGTCGGTGTATTTATGGTAAGGTTTCCAATCGTCTACCTCAATCTCTTCTTCATCGTAGTGATGGTGATCATGCTTGACATCCTCATAGTGCACTATGTGTTCAGCGCCGTTCTTATAGCTAGATATGACCTTGGCACCGAAAAGGCCCAAGGCCCAGGCTGCCACCAATAAGAATTTAAGCTTCAGGAAACCGTTGAATATAGCCATAACTGTGAAAATCTTGATAACCAGCACGATAGCGTAGATGATAAGTTTTATCAATCGAACGAGTTTTTTGATGAAACCCTCGTGCCAGCCTTTTTTTTTCTTGCGTGCTTCACGGTCGACTATTTCGACTGAAACAGGGTTGACTTTTTTTTGGCAATTCAATTAGGTAACATGATAGGAGGTAAACCCGTAATTACATTCTGCATTCTCAAATAGGGAGAACGCCTTTGTGACCGATATTTGCAGAGCTATACATGTAATGCTTCTTCTAGGACTATTGTAGATTTGTATGTAGTTTTCCACGGAACGTATCGTATAACATTTTTGATCTCTATATGGGGAAACTGGAAGAATGTTTGACTGCTTTTAAAAGAAAGGAATGTCATAATCGATCCTTCTAATGAACACTAACTTTCATCTCAGTCTCCCTTATACAGAACTTCAATCGTCAAAAATTAATATAAGTTGACTAACTAACTAATTTTAAGCGGTTTAAAAAAGTTTTGATTTACAGCTGTCAGTTTAAGACTTTGACAATTTTAAGTGAAAATATGAATAGTAAACAACAATGTGCCCGGTTTTTTGTATCCCGAAACAGAAATAATCAGTTTAAGGACTATGCAGAAAATCGTGCATTAAAAAAATATGTAATACCGAAGGAAATTAAAAAGTGTAAATTGAAAAAAACAAAAACTGAAGATTTGAGGGAAGAGGTGATAATGGAAGTTTGGGATGTGATTTATATAGATCAAAAACCAACCTGTTAGTGCTTTGGATATTGAACTTGAATCATTATCAAAAAGAATAAGAAAGTTAGGTCTTTGCTATGAAAAGGACTGTAAATGAAGATTTTTATGTGAACAGGCACAGATAACAAGTGAACAGAAAATCAATGGAAGTGGTTCGTTTTGGTTAGTTGTTTACTAATTGCAGAACATTTTGGTCGTCACTGTGTTTTCTGAGTTGATCCATATAATTAGTGACCTTTGGACCCGCATGATAAGAATAGATTTAACTATGCAATCTTTCTTCTGCAAGATTTTAGTTTCTTCGATTAGGTTGCAAATATTTTCTCTCAAGATATTCTGATTCAATAAAACTACAAAACCTAAAACTTTCACTTATAAAAAACGACTAGTACAGTACTGTTTATTACCTACTTACAAAAAATATAGACACTAAAGTTGTTTGGATTCAATATTATATAGTTATGTATACAGTACAGATTGTATTGTGGTGGACAAGGAACAACTTTCTAACTCTCAATAGGCATATTGACCAGAAACGCAACACGAACCTGTGTTGAATAAAACACAACTGCAGCTGTTCGGTTACTTTTTGAAGAGTAGCGTGTGTTGTGTTTCAATTTGTTTTCAAACTAGAGTCTGTGTGTTCAGTGAAAATGATTCCTGTTTTCTATTTTTGGCTTGTATTTGGGTTTGTTGATTCCACTGCACTGGTAGGTAAGTATAGTATAAGAAAATATTTGTATAGATAGGGAATTTATCCCGAAACGCTTGAGAAATGTATGTCACATTAAAATTACGATAGCGTTATTAAAATGATAGCAGTGCAAACCAGCAACAACTAATAATAAGAAAATTTTCTTTTCTAAACGTGTCGGTCGACAAAACGTAGTTGCTTGTTCATTTGAAAAAGTTGTTGAGTTCGAAATATTAACAATAAAACGTTTTTTGATTATGATTTATGATTACGAGTTTATAATTTAGTTACTACATCTACATCTACAGATCTACAACTATTTTTTTTAAATCGTTTTATTAAGTTTTAGTATTTTAGTATTCGGTCTTTTTTAGATTCATGATGTATTAAAATGACTATAACAATGAAACATGACTAAGTTAGATGGAATCCAACTCTCAAATATTGGTTTGCAAACCCACAGTAACGCAAAATAGTGAGGTTCCTTAAGTGCTTCATTCTTTCCTTTGCAATATATATTATATTCCAAAAACATGTTATTGTTAATATTTCAAAATCTAAAACATTTTCAAATAGTCGACATTATAAAAACAATATACAAGGGAACTATAGAAATGGAGTATTTCTATTTGGAAACAAAAATTTTGAGAATTCTTTCATTGAAATTTTTAATGATTTTGATCATGCTGAATTTATTTATTTTTGAAATCTGAACACAAACCACAAAAATAGATCTTGCATAAGGAAATCGACCTCAAACATATATAAAAGTTCGGAGAAATCGATAGATATGTAAAATTCACTTTTGCTTTTTTAAAAACATCTGGATTCCTCCTGCGTCGGTTTTTGCTGAGTCGAAATTGCTGACGTTTCGCCAATCACCCTGTTGGCTTCTTCAGAGCTTGACTGAAACTGCATCAAAAACCGACTCAGGAGGAATCCAGAAGTTTTGTAAAAAGTATTACAGTAGCCTGTGGAAGTTTCTTTGAAAAATTAATTCACTTTTGATATAAAATTCAAAATATCCTTAAAACAAAAAGATTATTACGAAAATACAAACATCTTGTATACATAAAAATAT